TTTGTGAAGTCTAAATGCCTCCCATTATGACAGGAGTGTCGTTGGAAAGGGAACAAGCGAGGAAATAGTCTTCAAACAACAGCTGAAAGAATGTTTAGTATAATCTGACGCTATGAGACTAAAACAGGGATTTTAAAAGAATGGTAAGGAAGAATGGCCCGGGAGGGTCAGTGGGGAGAGAGAAGGGTACGAGCTCCCACTGCACACCCACTGGTGTGGCAGGAAAACCCACCACCAACTGAGAGGGTCAAAAAGGAAGCCATTTTCTCATGAAACAGCTATTTTCCCTCACTTAAAGTTTTCATGGTATTATTTCTACTTTGGAAGTGAAAACACCAAATTTCCGAGAAGTTAATAAATTGTCCGATATCTCAAAGCAGGTATAACTGCTGAAAAGCTTGACATTGGAGTCCGTTTGACTTCCAAAGCCTATGGTTTAATGCAATAGCACCGAGGGTTCGATATATTGAGGGAGCATGTTTTATTGATTTTTTTCTTTATTTTTTGGTTAAAATATCTATTATTGTTAGCAATTTAAAAACTAGCAAATGTTAGTGGAAACGAATTAAAAATAGTATAAAGCAAAGTTTTTTAAAAGAAAATGCAATTTTATTATTATTTTTTACATTCTACGATGTTGTGGAGCAATTGGGAGGGAGGGGGAGAGGGGAAAGGGGAAGAAAATGGGATGGAAGAAAGAGGAAGGAGGAGGGGCGGGACTGAGGCCTGTGGCACCGCCCCCTCATATCCATAGGGGAGGCTGGGGGACTTCCAGTGGTGACTTGGTCATTGCTGTGCTGGGTGCAGATGTCAGGGGGGTTATGGAAAAGCCCTCGCCCCGCACCATCCCAGCTCGGGAACCCAGGAGACTTACTGCTGTGGCTTGGTGGTTGTTGCTGGGCTGATTGCATGCGTTGGGCCAGGCATGGCCAAGGCCCTCATCCACCATCCTCGGGATTTGTTGCACATGTCCCGGGGGCATTGCTGAGGCACCCAGCCCTCCCCCTTTCTGGCTTGGTAGCCCAGGGGACTTCCAGTCCTATGTGTTATAGGAGACCATTACTAGTTAATGTGAAACTGGTTGAGGATACTTTGTTTTTTCTTTGTTTTGTGCTGGGTTATTTGCTATTCCCACTGTTTAAACTCTAGCTGGAACTAATTTGTTGTCCTTTGTTTATTTCTAAAATGGGGGAACTTCCTGTGGGGACAAGTACTTGCTCTGTGGTGGAGCTAGCTTGCTGCTTTGCTGCTGATTCCTTAGGGAAGTCTTTTTGTGCAGCTCAGGTTTTAATGGTTGTCTTTATAGGTACTTCCAGCTCTGGAGAGATCCAAAACTCTGGTCTGGGCCTGAGTCTTTTTATCAAACTGCACCCCATGCACCTCTATATTCCTGAGCAGTCTCCTCTGAGTGGTCCTTCACTGGTAGGGGTACAGATCAGCTGTCCTTACTGTGTCCCAGTGTTCTCCCAGTGGTCCTGTCTCCCCCACCACCCATGCTGCAAACACTTCCCATGGGATGTGCCATGCGCCCGTCCCTTGTGATGACGTCCTTCACTGGTAGGGGTACAGATCAGCTGTCCTTACTGTGTCCCAGTGTTCTCCCAGTGGGCCTGTCTCCCCCACCACCCATGCTGCAAACACTTCCCATGGGATGTGCCATGCGCCCGTCCCTTGTGATGATTCACTGGCCTCTGAGTGGCTCCTTTTCTTCAGTTGTTGTGGCTCTTCACTCCCAACTTCATACGAAGGGCACAGCTACAGCTTTTGCCAGCTCCTGGCTCGGTGAGCTCAGTACCTCCAGCTTGGCTGTGGCTGGGGCTTGAAACGGTCCAAGTGGCTTTTTCTTTCTCTCATCATGGCTTCTCCTGCCTTCATGCATTCCGTAGGTCTCTCCTCCTCTTCACCTGAGCTCTAGCAGCCCCAACCTGGCTGTCATTGCTTTTTTGTAGTTGTAAATTGGTTGATTTGTGGGAGAGAGTGATGCTGGGGACCATCTATTCCCCCATCTTGACCAGAAGTTCTCGAATAAAGCAAGGTTTTTAAAAAAATCCATTTAAAATACTTCCCTTTGAAGATAATCAGATTTTTTTCTCCCTATAAACATACTGATTTGTGGGAGAGAGTGATGCTGGGGACCATCTATTCCCCCATCTTGACCAGAAGTTCTCAAATAAAGCAAGGTTTTTAAAAAATCCATTTAAAATACTTCCCTTTGAAGATAATCAGATTTTTTTCTCCCTATAAACATACATCTCCCTATCAACCTACATTTTTCTTTCTTAAAATGAAGTTTCACGTTCTGTGTCCATTTTTCCTAACTCAATGTAAACTAGACATTTTCTAATATCAGTCTCTAGAAATCTACCTCCTTCCAAATTGATGGATGAACAGGATTGCATTGAATGCATTGAGAACTAAAGACAAAACAGCTCCTGATTTCCTGAAGCTGGCTTGGCACTCGCAGCTAGACCATGTTATTCTCCTTTGGGACATAAACAATTTTACAAAATACCAACCTCAGATAAGATTTTTTTGAGACCATAATATGAGACAAAACAAGGTTTCTTCATAATTTTGTTTAGACAGACAACATTTTCCATTTAAAAAAGTTATAACCATCCCAGTTATTATTAAGTGGCATCTGGTTTTGATTTGCATTTCCCTAATGACTAAGGTTGCTGAACATCTTTTCATATGCCCGTTGGTCAATTGTATTTTCTTAGAAGAAATATCTATCCATGTCCTTTGCCCATTTTTAAACTGGGTTGTTGTCTTTTTGTTGTCTTTAGTTGTAAGAATTCTTTATATATTTGGGCTACTTGATACCATGTTATGTGGTCTTTCCAATTCTTGACAGTGTCCTTTTATGTACAGAAGTTTTTAATTTTACTTAGTCCAATTTATGTAATTTTTTCTTTTGTAGCTTGTACTTATGGTATCTTATCTAAGAATCATTGCCAAATAAAAAGTCATAAAGATTTACCCCTATGTTTTCTTGTAAGAGTTTTATAGTTTTACTTCATACATTTCCATAATTAATCAATTTTGAGTTATATATATGTATATATAATATACATTTTTAGTGGGTAGAGGGTAGCTAACAGGTACAGGGATTAAACCCTGGACCTTGGTATTATCAGTGCCACACTCTAACCAACTGAGCTAATCAGCCAGCCCTTGAGTTAATTTTGAAGAGCATGAAGTAAAGATTTAACTTTGTTCTTTTCCATGTGCATATCCATCTGTTCCAGCACCATTTGATAAATAGTCTATATGACTGGGTGGCAGTTCCAGGATGTTGGTCTATCCTAGAAAGAAAAATCTTTCACAGGACCAGTGAAAGGTAAGGAAGAGAGGGACAGAATAGAAATGGAACATAATAGGCTTTATTATAAAGTGAAGGTACACACCAAAGAAGTGCGCTGGATTCTCCACAAGGGAGAAATGCACGCCTTCCCACATTCTTAGGGGGAAGGTTTATATGCTGTTCTGAGAAGGGGGTCTCTATCCTAACTAAAGGGAGGAATATTCAGCTGTGGGGAGGATCTAAGGTAATTAAGGCCTAATGAGGTAATATCAGCTTCCTCTCATGCATCCCTGAGTTTCTGAAATTTCCAGTCACTCTCTTAACTTTTATCCACTCTGAATATTTATGAGCAGCCTCACTGGTGTGTGTCCCTATTCTGCCCTGCCTTAATCCCTTCTGAGACTGGTTTGCTCACATAAATCTTTTTGGGGTGCAGAGGGCCATAGATCCTGTCAGTCTTCTATAGCTACTTCCTGCTGGGTCAGGGCAGTTGTCCCTGCCTGTCCCTGGGAACTAAACTATCTGCCTAGACTGTTAAGCAGCCTCAGGGAAGGCTCAGGTGGAGAGCGGCAGGAGCTCTTATCCTTGAAGCACCATGATAGTTTTTTTGGATGGCAGGCACTCTGTGAGAATTCTGAGCAGGAGAGCTAATGGCCCCCTCAGAGACTGAGCCTGAACTGCTCCTTTCTGGTGCAAAGTCTCGCCAGGACTCCCATTCTTGTTGTCACGTCAAGGTCCTCCTGGAGGGGTAGAATCAGCACAACTTTATTGATGTCTTTATAGGTTTCCCAGGGTCTGCAAGTCTGCATCCTCAGGCTGGCTGAAAAACAACTTTACATTTTTGTAAATAAAGTCATTTTGCCATGTGAAAGAAGGAACTCAGAGAAATGCATGCCACCGCCCCCCCCCCAAAAAAACTATCCTTTTTAAAATCTGACCACAGCCCATGTGGTTTTAGGTCCCAACGTGGCTTCAGTCCTGCTCATCTCAACAATTTTCCTACAGTCGATAGTTAGAGTTAACAAGCTATACATTAATTAGTACGTCGACATTCTTAAGAACTCACACCAATCCTTTGCTTAGGAACAGGATGTCTCATCTAAGTCATGAGCCCCTGCTTCAAGGCTGCAAATACTTTTAGAGAACTGCTTGTGTAGAGAAGACGTCATTTCTCCTTTTCTGAGCAAAACACTCCTCATGAAAGCATTGATGATCAATTTTCTAATTGACAATGTCTTACTTTTCTTTGTACTGGTCCCTCAGTGCTGGGAAGGCTCATTCCCGGGTACTCTGATCCCTTGGAGCTGAGAAAGCTTATTCCCCGGGAACTCAATGTCCCATGTCAGAGGAAAAGATGAAATAGCAGTTAGGCCAAATTAGGGCAACATAAAGTGGGGTCAGGAACTTAGAAGAGACATGTTGTTATAACCAATGTGTCCAATTGTATTCTGTTATAAAGGAGAGAAAGTTCCCATCAATCCTGTGTAAATAACAATATTGCCATAAAAATTATGAAAATACTTACAAAAGTTTTTCAAATTTTGGAGGAATCAAATAGTGAAAAAGCAAATGCTTCCATCTCTGTTTATAAGTTATATTTTTTACCAAATTGCTATAAGTTATAGATAGCTTGAGAGAGTTTCCTTAAATCTGGAAAACAAGACATTTATGTAAAGAATCAAAAATGAAAGTCAGAAAACATTATGTTTACCAGTCACTTAACTTCGTGTGATTACTTTTCTGCTTTGCTTGATCTTGATTAGCAGTTTCACAAAACCATCCATTTCTTATTAGAGTTCTGAAAAACTTTTATTCTGTTCATTGATCTTAAAGTTATTTGAAACCCGTGTTTAAGAGTTCTTTTCGGGCCGGCCCGTGGCTCACTCGGTAGAGTGCGGTGCTGATAACACCAAGGCCGCGGGTTCGGATCCTATATAGGGATGGCCGGTTTGCTCACTGGCTGAGCGTGGTGCTGACAACACCAAGCCAAGGGTTGAGATCCCCTTACCGGTCATCTTTTTAAAAAAAAAAAAAAAAAGAAATCTTTTCATTTCTACCGACTGCAGACAGCAAGACATAAAATGACCATGACAAGAAAATTTGGTTATTTCTGTGGCATACAATTTCAGATTACCAAAATTATGTCA